TATGACACCACAGCCCACAACAGCTTGTTTTTAAAGGAAATATTTGTGACCAAAGTTCAAGAATTTAATTTGAATAGTTAACAATCATCATTTCCTTAATAATGTTGTAGTTTGTCAGTATGTGGAGAATCCATCTCACTTGATAGTGCCATCTGTGTTAGGAGATATACTGGTGCTAAATTATGGGCACAAAAGAAGTAATAATAATTTCATATAAATTCTTATAGTCAACAGCAATATCAAATATTAGCATCCAGTGTGGGGGAACATGATACCAAATAAACTGCTTATTGATCATGAAAATTTAGGCACTGAGAAGAAAGGCAACATTAGATTACGTAATTTTAAAGTCACAAATACATCTTTTAAAATTGTTTTTATCCTTACACTGCTCAAAACAATTTTAATTATTAACCTTAATAATATTCTAAGGAATTCATGACCCTTTTCTTGAAGTGTCTCTTAAACTCAGTAAATTTCTAAGATACATTTATTAATGTGAAATAATGTTAACATATTTTGTCTAACATGAATATCAAAAGAAAAGTAGGTATAATTACTATAATTAGTGTTGGAGATTAGAACACAAAGACATACCTTCAACCTAACCAGCTTTCCACAACAATAGAATGGTATTTGTTTTCTAATATTATATAAGAAATTATCACAACTTTGGCAGCTTAAAATTCCCTTTGTTAATGCTCCTGTTCACACGTCAGAAGTGAAGGCCTCCTGTTATTGGGCTTTTGATCAGGGTTTCAGAAGGCTAAAATCAAAAAGCTTTGTTTCTAGAGGCCTTGGAAATGACCCTGTGTCTAGGTTCTTCCAGGTGGCAGGTGTTTTAGGACTCAAGTCCCCCTTCCTTGTCATAGTCTACTCTTAGCTTCCAGAGGCTTCTCACATCCCTTGCCAGATAGCCTCCTCCATTTTCAAAGTCAGCAACAAGGAATCTCTCTCCTTTTGACTCTCCCTCACACTCTGAATTCTCTGAGTTGAAGAAGGACCCAGCTTCTTTTATTGCCTCACTTGATGAGTGTAGGCCCACTTAAATTGTCTGCCTTTTGATTAACTCAGACTCAACTAACCTGTTCCTGGGAGGAATAGCCCATGGTTGCGCACTCCAGCCAGAGGTTTATTGAGAGGTGAGGAATGTTGGGGGTCATCTTAGAGTTCCGCCTACCGCCTTAGGCAGTGAGATCTCTGGTGTGCATTCAGGAAGTTTAAGATATTGAGTAGGGAAAGAGGGGACTGGGAAATCTGTTAGTTAAAAGGGAATTAAGTTATGGCAAATGAAAGTCATAGAGAAGAGGAAGGGGGAGGAAACTCTTAATAGAAATGCAAAGAAGAAAAATGTAAAATGTAAAATTGATGATTTAATAGGACTTTACTAAATCTGTATTGAAGTTTGAAGGGAAAGGACAAGAGGAAATGAATTAAATGAGGTTTATCCTATTTCTGTTAAGAAAATATAAATGTCTGTGGCATCGGATGTTGAGAGAGGGGTAAATGACTAATCATACTCTTATCTTTCTATAACTACAAACCTATGTTCAGTATTGGGGAGCAATTCTCTCAGTCATCAAAATGAATGCAGAATTACTATGGTTGAATCTGTTCTCATGAAGTTATGAGTGTATAAATGTTGACCAAAAATATTGAGTGTTAGATATCTTGGCATGAATATTTCATTATGTGCTTTGCAGTTTGAAGGAATATAATCAGAGGAAATGAATCCCCCCCCCCAAAGTATTTGGGTTGCCATTTAGGGCTTTAAAAATTATAAAATTACACTGCAAATTGAATGAAGGATAGTTTAAAAGTTTTGTTATTATTATTATGATGATGATGATTATTGTAGCAGTAGTAGTAGTAGTATTTAATCTACTTAAATGGACTTTCATGGCTTGAACACCATAGTGTCTTACTTCTCAGGGTTTTTTTTGAGTGAGAGAATGACTGCTCATTTGACAAATAGCAATTATGAATTTTCACTTAACTGTCAAATTGGTGGGTATAAAAACAGATTTATTTTAGAAATGCTAATTTGCCCTTCCCCTCAATTTTTCTCCCAACATTCAAATCAAAAGAAAGATGTTATTAGCAACATATTTTAGTAGATGTAAAATAATTCAAGATGTAAAGTAATCCGTACCTAATGAACTTGGAATCTGTTTCGTGCTATCCTCTGAAAATTCAGAATTCAAGTGAGTATATTTAGGCCCTAAGGTGTTCTGCAAAATTTCTTATATTTTAACATCTTTGATGAATGCTTACTATTTTCGTCATAACAACACATTAAGACCATAACTTTGATCTCATTTTTACATTTTAAGTTCCTTTAGTAATTTCAGTTCATGTGAAATTTTGAGGTTGTGTTGGATGACCCTTCTTCCAAAATTATGGGCCCCTAAGTAAGCATAAGTTTTTAAGATTATTTTGTCAGCTCTGTTTGGAAAGCATTAAGAGTAAGAAGCAGGTAAAAAGCTTTAAATGGCATGTGGTGTGGTGTGCTGATTGACATTTAATAGACCAATAAGAAGAGCAAATAACTTCTTAGTTTATTATTCAATTTCTGCCTCTTTTATCCTCACATTTCTTTTTCTTCAACTATCTCATATTTTCTCATATATGATATTCATATAAACTCTAAATTACTTATTCCCTGGGCTCTGCTGTTTACAATTAGGGTACATTAATCATTATTTGCATTTTTAATTTTTTTAATTGTTGATAGATCATTATTTATTTATATGTGGTGCTGAGAACTGAACTCAGTGCCTCACACATGCCTGGTAAGTGCTCTACTGCAAGCCCCAGCCCCAGCCTCATTATTTGTATTTTTAAAAGCAATAGTATATGAAGCTTATTTTTATTGTAATATGGTTTATGTTTGATAATTTCTTGGATATTTGAATCTTAACTTTATTGTGATTTTAGGATTCTGCAGAGCTGATGATTGACACTTTGGTAATTAGCTTTAAAAAGATGAATTTGCTATATTATTTAAATAGTAATATACATAGGATTTTATTTAATAATGTTGAAATAACTTTTTTGGATGTGGTTTGAAAAGAGTAGTGGTTGGTTTATATTTTTCACAAGTGTACTGAACACTTGTTTGGGGTAAAATGTGAATAGTGAAAAACACTTATTTTGAAACCTATAATTTTTGAAATGTCTCTTCTAAAAAATATGTCCATCTCTTATGTTTTTTCTTTAGGAGTACAAAATCCCCAGCATGAGAGAATTATTACTGTGTCTACAAATGGGAGTATTCACAGCCCAAGGTTTCCTCATACTTACCCAAGAAATATGGTCTTGGTATGGAGATTGGTAGCAGAGGAAAATGTGTGGATACAACTTACATTTGATGAAAGATTTGGGCTGGAAGACCCAGAAGATGACATTTGCAAGTAAGTTAGCATACTTCACCTGGAATTCTGACAGAACTTAACAACTGTTGTCTTTCAAATTTTTTCCTTGTTGTACTTTGAAATGGCACCTTTGTTTTGATTTTCTAATGAGCTAAGAAAGTTACCACCTTATTTATGCTGTATTTCATTTAGTCTTCATTTAAAATGAGAAGACACATAAATATACATAAACAGTTATTATTTCTATTTCTAAAGTGACTTGTGTTAATTTTTGGTAAAAAAAAAAGTATATAAAAAAAGAAAAGGAATAGAGAACAGAAATTCATGATGCAGTTGTGCTAGAAAACATAAATTAACATTAGTGCTAATAATTTTGCATTTGAGCTCCCAGACAACCAAATCAATAAGATAAATATAAGCAATTTAAAGGAAAAGCTGTATCTGTGGGTATATATTATCTAGATGTGCATACTGATCCATAGCTATATCTATTTCTATATATATCTGAATTGATAGATACATGGTATACATACAGAGGTGATTAAGAACTTTGAATGTTTCATCACAAAGAAAGAGAGTATAGTTCTGACAGCAGAATTTGAAGTTTAAGCTAGCTTTATTCCATAGGTGGGAATTCATCATAATTCTTACAGCAGCATCCGTGAACCAAAGTCAGCTGGAATTTTTCACCCACGCAAAAGACCACCTACTGTATGTCATACAAATATTACTCTTTAAATCCCATATGAATACACTTGTCAAGGTTGGGTGGTCTTATAGAAGATTTTTCACTTCAGTGGCATTCGTGTATCATGAAAATATTTTACTTGAACTTTGTCACAGGGTCCTTTATTTTCTCTTTGATTCACAACTTAAAAGAGAATTTTTATTTTATCATATACTATAGATAAATATTTCAGTATGCATGAAATAAACTTTGTACTTGCTGTCATCACAATTTTTATCTTTAGCCTTTACGTACTATTTTTCATATTTCTTTGTTCAGTGACTGTACATTTCATATTATATATTTTTCCCTTACATCAGTGATTTTAAATCTCCAGAATTAGGAGCTTTGCTAACTGTCTTCAGAAAATTGTGTTAACATTCTTTCATTCCGTAGATGAGGAAACAGAGACCAGGGACGTGGGCTAGCTGTACTAGATCTCATTTATATATTGTAACTAAGCAAATGCTAAAACTAATTTTTTCTTACACCTCTGAAGGGGATTTTCTACCATGTACACCTCTCATTTACTTCTCATAAACAAGATCTCATAGTCTTGTTAAAAATTGTGTAGGATCTATGAGTTTGCCCTACTTGCAAAGTAGTAGTTTTGTTCACCAAAGTTTTGTGGATATTAAAAGAAGACAGGAGACTCCTTGGTCAGAAACAAAAGACTTTATTACAATAGTGGCAGCTTGAAGAGTAGCACTTTCTTTTGCTTTTTACCTGATTTCCATTTCCCACAAGTCAATACCAGGAGGGTCCATGTGACAACTTGTCACCTAAATGGTAGTTGTACAGAAAAGGAAGCATACTATATTGTGTACATATGTACATATTTATGTGTGTATAATATACATTACTAAATAATGAAAACTAAACTATCAGTCCTGCATGTCACAAGTAATGTGTGATACAACTTTAACCAGAATGTGACAACTTTAGAAAAGTGATACTTTCAGTGGTTTTGAGGTCCCCTTTTCATGTTTCTCCCTGATCATCTTCTTTCTGTGAATATAATCATTGTCCTAAATTCTTTACTTTTTTCTTGATTTTCTCAATAATTTTCAACATGTATGTATTTTCCTAGTACTGTCCTATGATACATAGTTTATTGTTAGCCTGTTTTAAAATATGTATCAGTGGATTAATATTATATGATTTTTTGTAACTTGATACATATTTCAAAACAAGGAAAATCTAATGGTATTATATTTTTAATATTAGTTCACGTTGATGCTCATAGCTTAGATTACTTTTTTTCCTTGATGTCTAATGTTCCATTGGATAACTAGTTATCTCTTCTACTTTGAACAACAGTTAGCTTGTTTCCAGCTCTCCTGTGTACAAATGCAAGAAAATTTGTCTGCATTTAAAAATGATGAGACAGCAGTCTTAAGATACTTATGTTTTTGGGCTGGGGCTGTAGCTCAGTGGCAGAGTGCTTTCCTAGCATGCATGAGGCACTGGGTTCGATCCTCAGCACCACATAAAAATAAACAAATAAAATAAAGGCATTCTGTCCATTTACAACTACAATTTTTTATTTTTTAAAAAAAGATACTTACATTTTCAACTTTAGGTAGAGTTTAATTATTTTTAAAGTGACCAGTTTACCCATCTACTAAGACTCAAAAATTTCTGTTGTATAATATTCTTAACATCTTTTGAGATGTCTTTTTTTAAGTTCTGATAATATGAAATTGTTATCATTATGTTGAATTCGTTTTCTTGGTTACTAAAGGGGTTGAGAAATTTTCATTTATCACTGATCATTCTTGGTCCCTTTTCTCTGAAATGCCTTGTCACATCTCTTGTCTAGTTTTCATTTGTCTGTTTGACTTCCTAAATTTTGCTTTTTGTATTTAAGTCCTTGATCCACTCAATTGGTTGTTGTCTGTGGTCTATGACTTTTTTTTTTAAAATGGTCCAGTAGTATCCCATCATCATTTATTGAATACTGCTCCTTTCCCAAGGATGTGCAAATTTCTGTATGTGGTCTGATCTGTTCTGCACTCTGTTCTGTTCCTTTGGTTGTTTGTGTGAAAATCTTAATTGAATGACACTGCCTTACTTACTTTTTTTAACTTTATAAATGCTTGTGTTAGGGGAAGACTAACCTCATTTTTTCCCCCTTTGGGAACGTTTTGACTATTTTGACTTCCAATATATTCTTTAGAAATAGGTTGTAAAATCCCTTGAAAACTGTTGCAATGATTACTCCAGTAGATTTGAATGTGTGAATCATTTTGAAGAAAATTGACATCTTTGTAATAATGGTTCTGCTTATCCTTGAGAATTTTACGTTTCTCCATTTATTGGGGTCTTCTTTTATATCCATATGGTTTAAAATTTTTATTTATGAAGATGTTGTATATCCATTATTTAGATTTAATTCTAGATTATTAATACATTGTCGCTAAGCATCTTTTTTTGAAAACTGTTAATTATATACTGCTGGTGTATGAAAACGCAGTCAATTTTTGTGTTGATCTTTTTATCTGGCAGACTCATTAAGCTCTTTTATTTATTTTAACAATTGTTCTGGGAATTATTTTAGATCTATGCAAAAAATCATTTGGCTTGTGACAAGTGAAAAAGGATTTCTTTCCCCCATTATATTCTTTTACTCTTTCTTTTTAAATTCTTGTTAAGTGGTTGATTGTGTTATTAGGCAACTATCTTCTTGCCAATTTTAGACAGTTTGATTTTTTTTTATTTTATTTATTTTTTATATGTGGTGTTGAGGATCCAACCCAGGGCCTTGCACGTGCTAGGCAAGCACTGTACCGCTGAGCCACAACCCCAGCCCAACAGTTTGCCTTTTTAAAATCTGTTTAAAATTTGGAAGAACTTTGGATTTACAGAATGTTGAAAAAAGAGTACAGAAAGTTTCCGTATACAATTAATCCAGGTTCCTCTGATTTTAGCATCTCATGTAACAATGGTACATTTGCATAACTAAGAATTTAACACTTGCTCAATACTATTAACTAAATTACAGATTTTAATTGGATGCTAGCAGTTTTTCCACTTCAAGTCCCTTTCAGGATATGCACATTGCATTTAATTGTAGTGTCTCTTTACAAACTGAATCTGTACAAATCTGAACTTTGTATGTTTCTCTTTTGTGTTTTTTTACTTGATGGTTTTGAAGAGTGCTGGTCATGTATTTTTTTTTTTTTTTGGTAGAATGTCCCTCAATTTAAACTTTGCAAATCTTTTCTCATGATTGCACTGAAGTTATGAATTTGGAGGGAAAATTCCAAAGGTCATTTGTCCTTGTTGTCATACCAGAAGGCACATGCTGTCAATCTCACTTATCATTGCTGATGTTAACCTGGTTACTGAGGTATGGCATTATCTCCAGGGTTTCCCCCTGGTAATGTAATATATTTCACTTTCTAGAATGTTATTTGGAGTTATGTAACTTTAGTCTCATCTGCCTTCAAGGAGATAAAGCTCTACCTCCTAAAATTCTTTAATAAAGAAGGTTTTAGTTGCTTACCTGCCTGCCTGATTGCCTTCCTTACCTCTTCTAAGATTTTAATAATATTTGTTGTATTCTTTGAAATCATAGGTAATATAGAAGCAATGTTTTATCAGTCCTGAGCTGAAGATTGAGCCCCTGGGTGTTCTATCAATGAGCTACATCCCCAACCCTTTTTATTTTAATTTTAAGATAGGGTCTTCTTAAGTTATGAAGTCTAGCCCAGCATTTGTGATCCTCCTGCCTCAGCTTCCAGATTACTTGAGATCACAGCTGTGCCCCACCATACCTGGTTAGAAACAATTTTTAGACTTACACACACACACACACACACACACACACACACACATTCTCTCTCTCTCTCTCTCTCTTTCTCTCTCGACTTTCTAAGAAATGCATTTTTTATTACAGATTTCTAAATTAATTGTGTTTTGATAAAGATTTTGGCCTCTTTGTATGATTTGAAACTTAAAATTTGCTTTATTTGCTTTGGACATATCATTATTCCCAATAGGTTTAAAAATGATGCATTTTCTTCAGTTGTGGGGTAGAATTCAATATATGTCCATTACATAATTTTTGGCAATTTTGCTGCTCATTGCATATCTTACCTTATTTTGTTTCTTCTTGATATATCTTTATATTATTTCTTGATATTCCTTCTTGATATATTATCTTTCTAAGAGAGATGTATTAAATTCTCCCAATAGAGGATAAGTAGATATATCAGTTTTACCTTGCAGGTGTGTTAATATGTGTCTTAAATCTTTTAAAAGTACGTCAGTCAATGCATGTTGATATGTATGAACTTGTTTATTTGCT